GAGCTTTGCTGGAGAGCTGCCAATGTGGCTGTCCCCACCCCGTGCCGTCCGGCTCCGGCTCCCTGCTCTTCCATCGCACTTCCCGTGGCGCCTCCTCCCAAACCGTCATCTGCCCCCCCAGGGCCCGTGCGCCCTTCCTGGCATCACCCTCTGGAATGCAGACCAGCCGGCGGCGGCGGCAGCACAGCGGGGACTGCAGCCTTCCCGCCACCCGAGGTCTCACGTGCTCCTCTCCTTCCTCCTGCGCCTGAGGAGGAACGGTCTCCTTGGCTCGTGCGCCCCATTCCTGTTCCGGCCTGGGGTGGCATTTTCCCCTTGGCCTAGAAATCTGCTTGAGTTTCTGCAACTCAGACAATGCCTCCCTCAGCTCGCCTGCCCTGGGAGTAACCCTCACTGCCCTTCCTCCCCTTTACCACAGATTTCCCCAAAGAGAGTGTTCCTGCCCGACAGCCAGCGCTCACGCTCACTCCATGCCATCACCCGCTACACTGCCGTCTTTGCGGCTCCTGTGCTCAGACCCTCCCCCACCCCTGTCTCCCGGGCCCCCATGGTCCCTGCCCCCTCTGAGCTCATGAATGCTTGGTCTTCTTGCCTCCAGCCCTACCAGGCTTCCCCGCAATGGGACGAGACCTCCTCCAGAGAGAGTCACAGTCGATGGCCCGTTGGCCGAGTCTAACCTGTTTCTTTTAATATATATTGGGGCCATGTTGGAACAGCTAGCTGGATTTTACATGCAAATGCAGACATCCAGCTGCGGTCACAGGTGCTGTGGGGCTGGCATCCCTAGGGCTGGAGCACAGAAGCCATGGCCTCCAGTGGCTCTCCAGCTCTCTGCACCCACCCGGTCCCCAGCCTCACAGGGGTCTGCCCATCTGCCCGCAGGCAGCTGGCTGCAGGGCGGGCAGCCATGCCGGCAAATTCCTCCCCTGGTGATCTCTGCCGTGTTGGGGGTGCTATCTGTTACTGCCGAGAGGAATACTGTCATGTCCACACCTCGAAATCCACCGATTTCTAACTGCCTCCAGCCCCAAGGCCCCCCTCTCCTCCCGGCTCCCCTTTCTGGCCAAGCACCCCCAGGCCGGGAGCAGTGGCCGAGATGTGGGAGCCCCGCTGAGCGTGCAGACTGGCCAGTCGATGCCACAAGCTCATAGCACAGCTTGTGTAGCTGGCTCACCTTTGGTTTCTAAGCGGTTTGCCCAGTGTTAGCGGCTGGAATGGGATTCTGAGTCACCGACAGCGTTTGAGTGCAGTTTAGATGGGTGGATGTCTGAGGAAAGATGGTCTATATCCACCTGCTGCTGCTTCTCCCAGCCCTCTGCAGACAGTGTCATCCTCGAAAAGAACGTGTGAGCTCCGGGGTCAGGACATCTCAGGTCCAAATCCCACCTCTGCCTGTCACCTGTGCCGACGTGACCTCGGGCAAGTCACTGAACCTCTGCTCAGGTATTCAATGGGACACATCAGAAGTGCTGGGGGCAGGGTGGCACAGCGTAGACAGTCAGCACATCGTGGGACGTCCTCTGTGTATGGTCTAGCACGCCCCGTGCCACGGCAACGCCGTGAGGAGCATTTCACGTGGCACGTTTTTAAAATGCTTCGATCCTGTTGCAGCCGGGGCTGCCCAGAGGGACCCGCGCCGGAAGCCAGCGCTTTTCCTGCCGCTTCCCCTGCGCCCAGGGAGGCGTAAGCAGCACTGCTATCTCGAGTCGGGTTCTTGGCTCCTGGGAGACGCTTGCCTCGAGAGCGGATCTCACGCGCCCATAATAACTAACTTTCAGAGGGGGATCGAGTCCAGACGGAGCTTTTGTTCTGCCTTCTCAAGGGCTCTCACCGACCCCAGAGGATTCTTCCCACGTCAAAGCAAAGAGGAGCCTTCGTGTCAGCTCAGGAGTCAGCTCCTGATCAGGGCCCTCGCGTGGGTGTCCGCCTCCCACTCCCAGACCCCATCTGTCGGGGACACCTCCCGCCTCGGCCTGTCTTCGGAGGTTAAGGAGATGCTACAGTATTAATCGATTTCAAGGTCTTTGAACACACAGCCATAAATATTTAAGCCTTCGTTTTGCCTGTTAAGGAAAATGCCATCTGAGGTAATTATCTTGCCTTCGCCTGACAGGAGCATTTACATAGAGGACAGGATTCTTTTAACCTTCCAGCAAATTCGGAGACCTTGAACCTGTTTCGGTCTTTCTCCACACCGCAAGCCTTCCTGTGGCCACATACACTAAATTCCTGAACAGTGATGAGGAAAAAGCGCCAGCAAAAGAGGAAACAACCTAAAATGATTTTTGATGGATTCCCCAAAGCAGCGCAGCTTCTATTTTCAGTGAAAGTCGACTGGAATCTGAACATAGATGTGGGTTCCCGCTTGTCTGTGTGCATGTCACTCCCCATAAACTGCAGGCACCGGGAGGGCAGGGCCCCCGGCTGAGGTGCTTTGTGTCCCTGGCGGCACCACGCCTGGCACAGCATGCGGGAGCGTCCCTGGTCCCAAGCAGGTCAGCGCGGGGAGCAGCGCGACGGTCTGGGGGTCCCCCGAGCGTGGGGCTGACGCCCGGTTCTGGCAATTCTCAGTAACGTGGCCTCCGACACAGCCCGAGCCACCTCCTCCGAAACACGGGCCCCGTGTCGCCTCCCCACGGGGCTTGTTATGGGGACTAAATGAGGGGGCGTTTACGTGGCGCCTGGCGCACAGCAGACAGCAAACGGCGTCCGCTCCCTTTACGGCGGCTCGTGCGGCGGGTGTAAGGAGAGACATGAAGGGTCTGGAAGCAAAGGTATTTAGAGGGACAGCGCGTTATTCCCGGTGTATGAAGAGGCCCAACATTAGCGAGATGTGCTAGAAGTACGTTTAGGGGTGTCTGGTGGAGGAAGGGGAGGGTTATCTGAAATGGAACACCGTCATAACGAGTGCGACAGACTGTGTCCCTCTCCCCCAGAGACGCCAACCCTGACCACTGGCGCCTGTGAATGTGCTAGCTTGGCTCGGTAAAAAGGACTGTGCAGATGTGAGTGAGCTAAGGATCTTGAGGTGGGGAGATGATCCCAGATAACCTGGTGGGCCCAGAATAATCCCAAAGACCCTTGCGGGAGAAGAGGGAGGCCGGAGGGCAGGAGTGGGAGAAGACAGAGAGAGACGCTGCACAGAGGCTAGAAGGTGGCACCGTGAGCAAGGACTGCAGGTGGCCTCTGGAAGTTGGAAAAGTCAAGGAAACACGCTCTCCCCTAAAGCTTCCAGAAGGAGCCAGCCCTGCCCACTATTTGACTCTAACTCAGTAAGACTGATTTTGGACCTCTCGAGCTATAAGATGAGTTTGTGTTATTTTAAGCTTCTAAGTTTGTGGCTATTTGTTACAGTAGCAACAGGACACTCATATCGTGAGTCACACTGAACCACGACAACCAAAAGACAAGACACAAATGGACACACTTTCACCACATGGACAATTTCATCTCTGTCGGACACCGTGTTTCTGGATAGCAGAGGTGTTACTGAACACAAGCAGCTCTCCGCTGGATCAGCGGAGACCTGATCTTAATGGAGCTAAAGCTCAATGCCACCTTTATTCCTAAACATGCTGCCATTCCCTGTCACTAAACTTTCATGGCGTCTGCTGGGTTGTCACATAAAGCCTGCACAGCTCATAATTGCAGCCTGCTTAATACCTGCCAGTCAGTAAAAGGCTTCAGAATAAATGCTGCAAAAAAAAAAAAAAAAAGTAGTGTTTTTTTTTTTTTTACTGTGCCATCTCCCTCTTCTTCATGTTTGAAAGATGTGACTATTTAAGTTCATATCATGTCTGGAGGTACTAACACGTGAGTTCTTTTGGGGGAAAAAATCCCTTATGTATCAAGACAACATGTCACCTTTGGCCAGGTAATTCAGAATTTAAATTTGTAAGTGAAGTCTATGTTTCCACATTGCCTAGGAATGTAACAACTGAAAAAGGCCTTAACAAAGGAATAAAAATCAGCTTCGCTTCTGGAATAATGACTACCACAGAGGGTCTACTAGGTGCAAAAATATTGTATTAAGCACTTAAGTCCTCACAACGATTCTACAACAAGGATATTATCTCTAACTTGCCACTGAAGATTGAGGGTTCAGAGAGGTTAAGGAACTTGCCTGAGTTCCCACAGCCTGTAAAAAAGAGAGTTAGGGTTGGAACTCACATGGGTCTGACTTCTGAGCTTGTGTCTTTTCTATACCTACTGCCTCTGAGATAAACGCATGGGGCAACATGTTGGATGAATGTGGGATAAACTGTAATATGAGGGCTCTAGGAAGAGCCTGGGCTGGCCCAGCTTTGAATCCATTGCTTTCCACCATGCTGTAGGTCAGCTGGGACAAGACCATTACATTCACAGGGCTGTGTGTGGATAGAAAGCTGGCTATACATACAATGATCCAGGGTCATGACCCATTCCATCACTGGCATGTAGGGATGCTTCATAAAATAGGAAAAGAATTTCTCAGTGTTATAACAAAGACAGTGTAGTAGGGCCACTGCTACAAAGACACAAATCTTGGAGCCATTTTGCTTATAACCACACGGATACATTTTTCCTAGATTAGACATCACAAACGATAAGTAGTCTAGAGCAATAATCACTCTGATGTTGCTAAAAAGCCATCGCTGCAACCCCCTCCTAACCCAGCTGTCCCAAGCAGAATATTTTCACAAACAACTCCTTCCACCCACCAGTGTTTCTTATTCTGACCACACCCATGTGAGAAATACATTTTACCTCGCAAATGCAACCGGCTCACATGGACACGCAACAAAATCAACAGTTCCATGGAGCAAGACATAGCCTTGCTATGTGCAATGAGCTCTCCTATTTTTCTATTTTAGTCTACGTTGTATAGTTTAGTCCATATCGTGGACATGACCCACGCATTGACCTAGTGATTCATTAATGACTCTACACCCCACGAGCGGGGCTGTTTTTACCATTTTGAAAGTCCTGGTCTAGAAAACAAGGAGCACCGGCATCCCTACCTCCGGGGCGATGTAATCTGGAGTCCCACAGAAGGTCCTGGTCGTGACTCCGTCCATCATGTGTTCCTTGCACATCCCAAAGTCAGCAATTTTGATATGTCCTTCTGAATCCAACATGACATTATCTAACTTCAGATCCCTGCAAGGAAGCAGGTTAACATCAGAGTCCTTCCAAACGACATAATGTGGTTTGCTCTGGCGCTGGTGAAATAGGAGGATGTTTGAATCGCTGCCACCTCAATGGCACATGAACTGTAAATCCCTGGGGAGCAGGGACCAGGAATTACTGTGTATTTCCAGAGGCTGATATTGTGCCTGGGCTATGGCAGGTGCTCAGATGCACACTGAATGAATGACTAAATGGCTGAAGTAGTGGTCCCCATCTCAGCTGTGCCTGTGAGCCCAGAGATTCCAATTGAGCAGGTTTGGGGAGATCTCAGCCATCTGATTTACTCATATTCCACATGGCAGGGGGGCTGACACACAACCAGGTTTGCAAACCCAAGGGTTGAGAGCCACCTCACAGGTCACACCCATGTCCCTTCCATGCTGCCTTGTGCCACACATGTCCGTTTAATTACTCTTCAGTTAACACTGGAAGACATTCTTCTTTCTTTGGCACCAGATTTTCGCTGCAGCCAACAACAGGAGGAATTAAATCAATAGTTTTTTTCCTCGCCTCTCCCCAGTTCCCCATGTGCTCTTGCTGAGCGCCTACAACAGAAATTCAGTTTCCACTGCTCCCTGACCTCCGCCTCAAATAAAAGGCAGAGGAAGGAGCTGCCAGTGGAGAGACAAACATGTTTTCTTGTGCAAAGCAGAAATGAGATACAAAATCTTTGAGGTCTGGAAATCAGCAGGTGGCTCTGAGTTGCCTACAGGCTGCAGAGAGAGGCGGGTCCCAGCAGGTCTTTGTGACCCAGGGGGTTACCTACTCCACGTCTTAAGTTGCCATCACAGAATGACATGCCCACAGAGGCCCGGCAAACCTTTCAACTGTGCCGCTGGTAGGAGAGCTTCGATACACACCTATAAATTATTCCTCTTTTATGGAGAAAGAACAATCCAATGGAAATCTCTGCCGCATAGAATCTGCAAAAGAAAATGTGCTTCAGGTTTCTTGCTCGTTTCTTTGGACTCCTGGATACTTTTCACCCTCAAGTTCAGGCATCGAAAAGATAAAAGAACGTCAGACTCAGAGGCTTTCAGAGGTCGGCATCAGCCTGCACCTGCTCTTGCAACCCTTGGCCCTTCCCTCTGCCACTTCATCATCCAACTGACCCGAGAGTGACACGGCTAATAAAGCCAGTGAGACAGGTTATTTTTCTTGTCTGAGGAAGGTGAACAGGTAATTGACTGCCTACAAAGTCATTTCTAACACAATCATTTGCAGAGTGGATACCTGTTACACTATTCTATGTCAGGCATACGACACAGAAAAATTCCATTTTCCTATTCATGGATGGAATACATTGGGGTTTGAAAATACAAATACCCCCTGGAAGACAAAGTATACTGGGTGATGTACTCTTTTGCTAGTTCATTCATTCCCCCCAAGTGCTGGAATAACTGAGACACACAGCGTGATTCATATCTGAGCTTACCCTTTTAAATAATTCATAATAAAATGCATTTATGACCAATACTTCAAAAGTCTTAACAGAGTCATATCTGAAACTCAGATTAAATGCAGAAGGATATTTAAAAATCCACATAGCATTTAGGAGTCTTTGAAGTCTGAGAAGCCACAAGATGTGCAAATATCACACCCAGAAGGCTTAAAACAAGTGCCTGTGTTTACATGAGCAGAGAAATAAACTCTGTAATGATCAGGACCAAACTGAATGGGAAGCTGTCTCGGAAGGCCAGTGGGAGAGGACAGGATGCTCGTGGGGTAGAGAAGAGGTGGGATTATAGGCAAGTTGTGCATTATTTTTCAAGCTTTTCTTTATTTCTCAAAAAAAAAAAACCCACAAATCTTTTCTGCAACACAAAAACAATGAAAGGGTCTTGGATAGTACATCTTTATGTTTGGTGGCTATTTCACTATTTGCTCTTTATAGCTCTGTACAATGGCTTTGTTTTACAATCCCAGTATTTCAATGCTTTCTAACTACAACATAAGACAGGGGATAGGGAAGGTATTTTTTGTTTAAGACTAGAAAAGTAAATATAAAAGAAGAAAAATCTCTCTGCCCATTTTTAAAGCTTGCTACCAAAGAATTCCCTATTTTACCCTTAGCTAATCTTCCCTACGGCAGATAATCCCCACATAGGCCAAAAATCCTTCTAATTTATCTTTTAGATTGAACATCAGCCAGACTCTTCTTAACATTCGCTAACTGGATTCATCAGGGCGCATGCTCACTATGTATCCTCACGCTCGGGGAAATGAAATAGGCTTGCTTCTGCCGAGTTTCCTGAGACTTCCTGGCCCCTGAGAAAGGGATGACATTTTAGGCATCAAAATTCCCCCACCCCTGCTCACCATGGACCAATCCTCCATCTTCACGTGGAGTTCCCATCTTCCTCCTGGGCTGGGAACTCCTGCATCTGGCATCCGAGGCACATTCCAATGAAATGCTCCGAACTGAGCTCACGGTTCTCCCCCAAACCACCTCCTTCCTGGCGGCTGTGTCCAGCCAAACCCAAAGTGGGGCCTCACGTGAAGAGATTTCTCTTTCTCACCGCTCCCTCCCCCCATATCTCCAAGTCCTCTAGGATGTTTTTCAAGGACACGTCCCCCTCTTTGGCTCCTAGGTCGAGCCCCAGCTCCAGTTCTACTCCTTCTCCCCTATAAAGGCTCTCACCAGCCCTGCGCTCTGATCCCTCCTTCCTTCTTCCCTCGGCTCTGTGAAACTGAATCTGCTGGTGGCAAGTCCCACTGAAGTCCCTTCCCTCTACCCAGCCATGCTCATCCACGAGGCTGTTCACCCGGAGCCCCTGCCCAGGGCTCCCCATAATCTTGTACCACCTCTTGCACAGGCCGAGCTGCAGGCCACTCCCTGGGTTTGCATCTTTTCAAATCTCTTCTTGGAAGGCTCTTCCCCAACCTCTGGGTTGGGCATTCCCTGAGGATATGCTTCTCTCAATCCCTGACTTTTGGGGGCTTGCATGGTATCCTGTGCGTGCCGCCAAAGGTACGGCAAGGCGTTATAATTATTGGGTGACTTCTACCCCCAGGTTAAAGAGTGAGCCCCACCCCGGGCAGGAAGCATGGCATTCCTGTCACTCCCCCAGTGGCTGATGCATGCAAGGTGTGCAACCGTCTTCTCTTCAATAGGTAAGTTGACTCCATCAATGAGGTTGGAACTAAGTGAGGAGAGGATACACCAGCATCTCTGGTTTATTGGAAATAGAATCAATCACGCCTTAGGAAACATCTAGATGGATCCTGCCAATATAGCTGCCCCCTTGGGAGGTTACAGTGCCTCACTCCAAACTGGGCAGAGTCCTACTGTCACATTCCACCCAGCAGAAGTTCCCAGTGGGGAGTATTGGGTTGCCTAAATTGAGAGACTTAAAAAAAAAAAATACTCACACTGCTTGTGGTTCCTTAAATTTTCCTACTTGCTGAATGTGGTACATGAGGTCCCCGCCGTTGACATACTCCATGACGAAGTACAGCCGATCCTGCAGACCAAGGTCAACACGTCAGTGGGCGCCTCCTGGCCCGGCCGCCGCCTGCACTCTCTCCAGGGTGCATTTTGCTTTCTCATCAGCAAAATATGGGCCGCACGGGCACATCTGCTCAGTTTGGAGCTCTTCGAAATTTTTTTCCCCCCAAGGAGAGAGTAAGTAACCAACCCTACTGCACAAGGGCCTAGGGAAGTACAAAGTCATCACATAACTCTGAAATAACGGCTCCCTGTCTACGTGTCTGCCCCTTCTGGTTATGCACAGTAACGGCCTCAAACATTCGTCCCTGTTTTCCTACATACATTTCTAAGCTAGGGACCGTGTGAAGAGTCCACGCTAGCCAACTATTTCACTTTAACGAGCATTTCTCTGTGGCCTGCATGTTTAAAGGCTGGTTTGCAGAGCCCAGGAGGCGTGCCAAACCAACGTAGCAACGTGTTTAAATGGCCGCTCCTGAAAACACATCTCTGGGGTTGGGTTGGGCTTATATATTATACACGCTTAGTGATATTTGCTGGGCAAGGGAGAGAGAGGACTGCAAATGCAGAGCCTAATCAAATGTTCTTTTGCATGCATAATACACCCAAGTGTTATTTCTTTATTTTCTCTGTCACTGGTATGCTGAGTGTTGGCCCCAAGAAGGGCCTGTATCATGGACCCAAATAAATCTGCATATTTATGAGGACGTGATGCTGAGGCAGATGGGGAGAGTGAGGGGTTTAACAGCAAAATAACTAACGACACAGCACGCCAAGGTCAAAGCTGACCTCCGCTCTCTGCTAGAAAACATCATTTCACAGACGTTATTAAACATTAAAGTGTTGCACAGGGAGGGAAAAAAATGATAAAGCTGGTGCTAATAGCCAGAAACAGCTCTGGGAACGTCAATCTTTAGCTTTCCTGTTATGAACTTTAATTTCATCTTCATGTCTTTGCTTTTTGGCTTAATAAGGGCAACCAGAGTTCCCGGCTCTGAGCTGGGACTCGGCTCTGTGGTCCTCTTTTCCCAGCGTGCCGAGCTCGTCTCCCTGGTGTGAGTGGATTCAGAGGCCGGGGAGCTGCCACCCGCGCCGACACGCCATGGCTGGCTGGCTGGCTGGCACCTGCCTCGGTGGCCCCCACGGCACACCCGAGACTCCCTGAGGCTCCACTGCCACTTTGAGACTCTAAACTCCAAAAGCACGGAGGCTGCCTCCCAAGAGTTTTCAAAAGGAGACATGAAACAGAAAGTCAATTTCTGACTTACAGGCAGTTGAAAATAGTAATAATCATAACAGTAGCGGTTACGGCTCCTCATTATTGAGTCGTATTTAAAACGGACAGCCTCGGAGGGGTGGAAAGCCCGTCTCTGACAATGCCTCACTATGGTGCCAACTAAAGTCTGTATTTCTGGGAGGCCACCTGCGAGCCCTGCAACTGACTGACTAGGGCTTTGGAATCTTCTGTCCTCTGTTTAGTTTTGCTGTATGGCAGGAGTCAGCAAACTTTTTTGTGAAGAACCAGACAGTCAATATTTTAGGTGTTGAGTATCTCCTGTGACTACCCAACTCTGCCTTTCCAGCCATGGAACATGAATGAGCATGGTAATGTCCCCTCAAAAACTATTTATGGATGCTGAAATTTGAACATCATCTAGTTTTTAAGTGTCATGAAATATTATTCTTTGGATTTCCTTTTTGCCATCTTTCTTAGAGCTCACGGGCCACAGAGAACCGGGCACACACAGTTTGCCACCCCTGTTGTGTGGCACTGAACAAGAACACATTCTTCCACAAAATCCAGTCTCCTAACATTCCAATGTCATGCTTGGCAGCAGAGCCGGTGGTCTTAAAAAGCTGTGAGCTATTCTACTGTTTCTGTATTCCCCAAGTCTTTGCACATTACCTGCAAGGAAGAAAACCTTTCATGTAACTGTCTGCTGAATTAAACAGCATGAATGCCAAGCCTCTAAGCAGAGGATGTCACAGAGGCAGAGGGATGAGAGGTTGTCCCCTGTCACCTCTGTTGGGCATCACGTTACACCTTTCTCCAGACCTCTCCCCAGGAACGAGGACGCTGAGACGCTCTGGTTCAGGCTTAGCCCTGGGAGCACGCCGGGTGCTGTGTCGCAGAAACACACCCCCGGGGCCTTACCACCGTCTGGAAGCAGGAGTGCAGCTGCGTCAGGAACGGGGGCTTGTCGAGCAAGGCCAGGACCCGCTTCTCCACCATGGTGCACTCCACGTCGTCATCCTGAATCACCACGTCCTTCTTCAGGATTTTGATCGCGTACAGTTCTTCTGTTCCCTTCCTGTCAGCAAGCATCACCTGGGAACAGACCAAGAGCCACCTGAACGCCCCTGCGCGCAGACGTCTGCTCCTGGCGGTGGAGGGAGGGAACCAGGCCGGGCGACGGGTCATGCAAATTCATGCAAATTTGTAATGTGTGACATAAAACTGTTAATAAACTTTACATGCAAATTTTCAAATACTGCACATCACTGCAAATTAAATCCCTCCGGCATTTGTATAACTTGTAAGCTGTTAAGATTTGTACACCGTCTAGGCTACTGACACACGAGGGCGCTATTTTGGCTGCCAAAAGGAATGAATACTCAACGTTCTACACTGAGATGAGTCTGCAATTATGTACGTGTTTCAGGAGCAGCATCTTAAGAGTGAAATGAGACTGACCTTTATAATCTCACGAGTCAGGAACCCAGACAAAGAAAAGGCTGAAAATCAGTTCCTGGATCTATGACAAGATTTGGGGCCACAGAAGCCGAATGGAGGTATCTAAAAGGATTGCTGAAGACCCCACTTCAGAATCTCTTAATGATTACACTTGCTTACTACAAGTTAGCGTCTGATTTTTGTTTGTGAAAATTATTCATTCAAACCGCCTCTCGGAGCACCCCTTCTATTCTGAACACTGTGAAGGGGGGAAAGCACAACGAACCCATGGTAGCTTTTTGGATGCAGTTGTTTTTAATGAAATGAAATAGGAAACACCCCCAAGGAAACGTGCACAAACCACCAGGAATATAAAGGGCTGTTCTGGAAACCTCAGCGAGAACAAAACTGATGGAATATTCTCTGCGAAAGCCCCCTCCGCTTCCCAGACTACCGTCATCTTACCTTCCCAAAACTCCCCTTCCCCAGCACCATGAGGAAATTGAAGTCGGTGAGTTTCACTCTGTCAAGGTTGTTGGAAGGTTGTTTCCTGTCTTCCGAGGGACTGATGACTTTATTCCCAGCGGGGCCAAGCTTGGCTTTCTAAACAACGAGCACAAATGTGAAAAGCATGGGTCATTTTTCTGGGGAAAGAGTGGCAGATAAATCACAGTATATCTGAGCTTGATGTTCACTTGGAGGTGGGAAGTGACAGGGGGTGAGAAAACGAACTGAGAGTGAGGAGGTGATATCTGCTCATACATCAGTGGCCACACTCGCCCCGAGGGGAAAGTCTGCCAAGTGGCAGGAGACTGCCCTTCTCCATCACGACAACTCTCTCTGCAGTTAACCAAGAATCAGCCTGAGAGTCGGCCAAGGGCAGGCTGATTCTAATTCTGGGATGTAAAACTTAACTTCTTGGGGAAAACAGAGCTTTACGCTGGGACCAGTTAACATAGTAAAGGAAACAAATTGTGTACTGATATTTTTCTTATTTGTAGGCTTTCCAATTTGAAATTAATCTGCAAAAGGGAAATTTGTACCCATGCAAAAAGGGAGAAGAATGTCCTTTGCAGAGGAAATGCTTAAATGGCAAGAAATGGGGATGATTTATTGCTATTTTCAAATGCACAATAGGAACAGGGCTGCTTTTTTTTTGTTTGCTTTAAGTCAAAAGAAATGGAGATATCATGAGAATCTAGTTCTACACGAAACACATACTGTTCTTTAAGCCTGAAGAACGCCTGGTCAGTGACGTGTGAGCTACCAAAAGGAGTTTTTCTAATCAAAATTCATGCCTCGCCAAGGCCCTAGAGGCAACCACACCCTCACGACTCTCCCAGGGAGTCAGAGTCCCACATTGAAGGCAAAAAGTCAGTAAGAGGGCTCAGTGGAAAGGGGAAGGCAAATGAGACTCCACGGGAACGTCCCTGCAGTCAGCAAGGGGCCCCCGGAGAAGCTGGAGGAGCCTGAGCGGTGGAGACTTCCACCTCCAGACTCTGCATGTTGAACCCCTGCCTGGCGAGGAGGGAGCTGGCTGCAGGACGTGTCAGCTGCGGACAAGACCAGGGTCCTGGGGGCTGGCAGGACCTCCACAGCCCCGAGCCCAAGGACAAAGACCCTTGCTTTGGAAGCATTCCTAATCCATGGGTGCAGGGCCCCCCCGGGCAGCGGACCCGGCAAGAGTGGCTCTGAGCTCTGGCGCGGACCCGACAAGAGTGGCTCTGAGCTCTGGCGCAGTTGCCAGGATCTCATTCAAGTCACCAACTTCGCGGCTACCAAGAAGCTGGTAAGGCAGGCACTCGAGGGGCCGTGCTGGGGACCAAAGCGCGGGTAAGACTGGATCTCAGCTCTAGGGGAAGACATGCGACTCACCACTTTTCTCTTTGCCAGCAGAGAAGGCTTACGAGGCATCCTCTATAGTCCCCTTTGGAGCACCAGCATCCCTTCACCCCACCGTTACTGAGCAGGCCCCGCACAGTGTCAGGCTCTGCCGGGGGTACTTCGTGGTCACAGAACGAGCCCGTCAGCTGTCTCTGGATTCCCAACACTAACCCAGCGCCCGGCACAGGACGTGCACTTCGTGCTTTGGTTGAATAAATAAACTGCAGTCTGCGTGTGCTTATCAGATGCTATGCTGTCGGGTGATGCCTTTCTCTGATAAACATAACTCGTTTATATAGTGACCAAGTCTCATGGTCTGCATACAGGCTCTGAAAAATTGAGTGCACTCATTTAACATGTGGGAGAAAAAGCCCTGCCATTTTTGCTTCGAGGCTGAAAATATTTTAATGTGCTTGTGCTCTGCCTCTATTGGCAGTGCGTGGCCGGAAACACGTGTGAACTTGCCCACCTGGAAACCCTGCAGGCCCATAAGCATACGACATGAACTGCAACGCGACGTAGCTGGCCTCCCCTTTAGCAGAGGACGTTAGGGATTTTCAGACAGACCAGTGAGAAAGAGCCAGGCTCAGCCAACCAGGTTCCATTAGAGCCACCGAAACTGCAGAACCAGCCCAGTCTCCAAACACCTGTGCCAGGAATGACCCCAAGTGGAGAAACCTTTTGGGCTATGTCTAAATTTAAAAGAATAATCAGGAAGTCCAAGTCTGAGATGAGAATACTGACTATGCCAACCTGTTCTATACTTCTGATTTAGAAAAAGAAAAAAGTTATCAGAAAAAGGCACACAGAAAATTTTATTTTCTCAGGAACTTCACAACTTTTCAGATCTGAAGGGATCTGAAAAAACCCAAACACAAGTGACTTGGTTATCTGAGATGCCTGAAACAGCTGAAAAGCAGGTTCACCTGGGCGAAGTTGCTATTCACACCACCAGTGAACGTCTGGCTTCCACCTGCTGGGTGTGGTTCTAGCTGGCTACGCCGCCTCATTTGGCCTTCCACTACAGCCACCGCCCCCTCCTCTGTGACACTCCAACATCACAGACAGGGGACGTGGGCTGATGCCAACAGTGGGGACTCCAGGTGCACACAGGGGCTTTGGACACTGCTGTGTCTACTGCCTCCGTTGTGGGCATGACGACAACGGCTGTGTGAGTTTTGTGCTATGAACCCCGTCTAGTTATGAGGACAAGCTATTGCCACAGTCAGGCCAAATGGATGTGAAGACAAAAGCACTTCTGCATTGGAGTACTTCTGAACTCAACTGCAACATGATCTTGGACTCTGGTCTGAAATCAATCCACAAGGTTTGGGAGGAACATTCTACAAGGGAGATTCCTGCTCCCAGGAGGTGAAGCGGGACAGGACAGAGGAAGGCACAAGCTTCCTGCCCGGCGTGGGCAGATTCTTTTTAGCCAGAGGCGGAGCTGAGTGTCCGTGGCTGGCAGAGCAGGTGGCTGGCTGGGAAGGAGACAGGGCAGCATGTGGGGCCACAGCAAGCCAGGCTGGCCGCACTGACCATGTTCATGCCAGAGGGCTAGCTTCTCGGGGGCCTGGTCCTGAGGGTGACAATGGATTTCTCCCCAGCCCAAGCCAGCCTGAGATCAGAGTGGACCCGGCCTCGCCATGCAGCTGCTCCCATGGAGAGCAGCGTTTCCCGGCTCCCTGCAGAGCGCCCTTCCGGACCACGGCCAGGCTGCCACGTGCAGGCCTTGCTGCCAAAGGCCACGGAGCTGTCCCCAGCACCGAGTCTTTAAACAGCTCTTTTATGGCAAACCCCCCCCCCGGTATCATAACCTCAGTGGTCTGGGCCTGACTTTGAGCAAGTCCCACTCTCAATCCGGGTCTAGCAAATCCTGGGGTTGGAGGAGGCGGCCAGCAGACACCCCAAGCGGCTGTGTCACCAGGGGCGGGAGGCCTGAGGGCAGGGACACACACGGGACTCCTGGGCGGGCTGTGGGTCAGGGCTGGGGACCAGATACTGTGGACAGACGGCCTTGACCTCCAGTCTCTGATTAGCACCCCGTCTGTCTTGCCAGTGACCCAGCTCGCCTCGCCAGCCACTTCTAACGTGCCACTCCCCACCCTCAGGTCCCAGCTTAACTTCTCTTTCTTCAGCAAACCCCCTCCCCAAAGATGCCCTGCTCCTCTCCCTCCTGGCGCCCTAGGCTTTCCCTCACCAGGTCCTATGGCCAGTAGCAACTGGTGACCTATTTACGGGTGTGTTTGTTTAATGCCTCTTGCAATCACCACCCCCCTACCGCTAATCTAACAGCAGGTCACACCCAAACTACCTTCACATTGCACCATCTCTGGCCGGCCCTCTGCCTCCACACCCCTACCCCAGTCCACTCACGGGAGGGCTCCTGCCAACACATCAGGGGGTCACGTCCTGTCCTGGTTTCACTGGCTTCCCTGACTGAGAGGAGGAGGTCGTGCCCGCTAATGGATGAGGAGGCGGCTTCGCTCCCGCCGTCTCTCCGTCTTAATCTTCCCCACTCCCTCAGCCTCTGCCAGCCACGCCAGCCTTCCCAGGTTCCCAGACGCCTTCTGGAGTGGTCTTCCTGCTTCCCAAACTCCCATTCTGCCCCCTCCCCTTTAGTTTTCTCCCAAGAACGCATTGCCACCGGGCTGCTTGCTGTTCTGTCCAGCCTCAAAGTCTAGCTCGAGCGGCCCCCACCCTCCTCTGTCCTTCTGGAATTCCCACCCTGCGGCAGACACTGCCTGCTCCTTGCCCATATTCCCTGAGCTTCCAGCCCCGCACACCCAGGGCCATCTGAGGGCCCTAATTCACGAGTTGCTGCGCCCCCAACCAACCACAGCCTTCCGCCAGTCGTGGCTGGAAGCGTGTTCCAGACTCTTCCCCAGCTCCTGCAGGACTGCGCTGCAGCTGCCCACGGCGGCAACCACGTAGCGACACGCCTTGGCGGCTCCCTCCTGCCCTGGGTCACATCCCGACTCCCCACCCGGCTCTCTGGGGGCCCCTTCCCGAACCCCGTGGCTGAGCCAGCTTCTGGGAACCTAAGTAAACATATGTTCCTTCCTCTTGGAGTTACTGCTCTGTCTTCCTCACTGGCCTGTGAGATCCCAGGAGGTAAGGACCCAATCTTACTCAAGTTTGTGTCTTTAGACTGAGCCTTACACCTGGCACATAATTGAAACTCACTGAACTATTTCTCTCATTCATTCATTCACGTATGTGTTCAGTAAGTGCTAGCACCGACAGAGTCTGCAGAGGCCAACTTGCAGCCAGCACCAGGCCAGATGACAAACCTTAATACAGAAGAGCAGCTGATGGTATCCGGCAGACTGCTGCAGACAACCAGCCCCGGACTCTGCGAGCATTTAGATGTTCGTCTATAACCCGAACTCTTCTCCCGCAACCACCGGTCACACTGGTACAGCCACAGAGAAGTGCCGTGGGGGCATTCATGGCTTTAGGGAGGTCGGCCACACAGTGACCCTCTCCGGAGGCCACGCTAGGCCGGCAAGCAGCAACCACGCCCTTGGAAGAGTTTCTCTGAAGGTACACTCCTTTGATCAGAAGTCTTGCTCGCCCAAGATGCAGCTGGGATCTCTGGCTGAACAGCGACAGTGAGCCCCTACGCTGACCATTTCTTTCTCTGAGCTTTTTAATGTGTTTGGCAACTGGCCTCCCAGTAGGATTAAGAGACCTGCCCTTCCTGGCTCGCCTACTGT